TTAGCTCATCCATGAACATGATTTCTGCCCAAGTCCCGTCGGATTGCATCGGCTGTGGGGATGAAGATTACAACTCCCATGATTCCACACTCAGTCACTGCGTCATCAAACTAAGCCTTTGTCTCTTTGTTTATTTTGAATACGCGCCCTCTAGCGGCGAAAATTACATATTGTGTCTTTAACTTATTCTATCAGTTATATATAATATGCAAGTCTCAGTAAATTATAAAGGCCTAAAACCTGACTGTAACACAAAATATTTTTATTACTAATATAGTTTTCAATCTGGTCATTTTCCCATTATCTTAGACATCACACCTAAGACTGAAGCAGGTCTATAATTAACCATATCTAACCTACATACCTTTTTATATAATGGTATAACACTAGCACTTTTATACTACTACTGTTATAAACATGAGCCACGTCCAAAAGGTAAAGGGGGAGGTGTTGCTTCAATTTATAACAATGTTTTCAGTATTTCTCAGAGGGCGGGCTTCAAGTATAACTCGTTTGAAGTAATGGTGCTTCATATAACATTGTCCAGAGAAACAAGTGTTAATGATAAATCCCCTGTGTCATTTAACTTTTTACGGAAGTCACAACGGTTCGTGAAAAATCACAGCTACTTTATGCAGGCTGTGTGCATTTTACTGTGGACTGACTGTTTTGAAACTTATATAGTAGTTACATAGCATCTAGACCTCAGTTATCATGAAAAAAGCCAGGAAATTTCAGTTTTGACAATATGGGACCTTTAATATCTGTACCAGAGATGACTGACTGACATTACAAAACTATTAATACCATTGACAGATGAAAGTCTCACCTCTGCTTTCTCTGCTGGACATGTTGATATTCTGTTCTTTCTTAAGTCATCAGTTGATCATCATCTTCTCTGACTCCTGACATCTGTCTGTTCATCATCCTGTCAGATATTACACTGATTTACTTCATTAACAGTTATCACACTATGCAAAATATTTATTTTAAAATGCTAGTATTTTATATGCTGTTGTTCCTCAAATCACACACACACACACACCACGCAAATGGCTATGCTGACAAAAACTGAATGATTGTTTTTGAAAGTTTCTGTGTATCTGAGCATTTATACACTCATATACTCAAAGATGTATTATAATTTAACATTTGATTTGATCGCAAACAAATTATCAAAATGATTTACAGTCTTATACATAAAGCGTTGTTTTGGATATGGTTTTCTTGGCACACATGAAAGTGAAACTAATGATTTATGCAGCTCATATAGCTATTAATTCTACTTATAGTTATACTAAAATCATCATTATGTGTCGTATATCATTATTTATGTATTATAATATGCTTCTCAAAGAGTGTTTAAAGTAAAAGTGATACCTGCATGTCGAGTTTTGTCATTAGGTATTTTCGCCTTGAAGCTGCGTTGCGCATGTGTGACATCAAAGTATCGCGAGAGTGGAGCGTCTGCTCTCGTGTCGCTCTCGCGGTACTTTGATGTCACACAACGATCGCCTCTGAACAGCGCCACTGCAAGTCGAAAACAACACCTACCCTGCGTCCTAACAGGCTTGTTTGAGATGCGCCTGGCCTCGCCTGAAATTTAGGCAAGAGGCGGCTGCAGTGAGGGGAGGAATGAAATAAGAGCAGGCAAGACGGACAGTTCTGACCTCTAGAAGTGGAGCAGATACCAACGAGATTACTTAGTTTGTTACTGTCCTCTGGCACTGTTTCATTACATTAATGTTGTTTATCTTTTTCTATTTTTCCTTTACATTTGAATGTTTCTCGTTGTATTGTTTTGATGTATGGCATAATAATAATAATAATAATAATAAAAAAAAAGATACCTACGAGATCAAAGGCAGATATCGCGTAATTCACACTCACGTGCACTGCTGATTAACATGATATGATTCCAGTTCTGTTGCCTTTATATGAAAATAAATATGATGACCAAGACACTCAAAGTGCTTGCTATTTAATTCCATACGAAAGGCGTATTTATCATCCATTTTTACTTTAATACAAACTTAGATGTATTTTAGATTTTTATAGAAATATGACAACAATCACATTATCTCACACAGAGATCGCACTGTTAATAGTGTCTGAGAATATTCATGCATAATTTAAACACATCATCACATGATGTCAGATACAAAAATGAACCCTTTTTAGAAGAGAAAGCAACCTCACAGCTGTTTGAACCAATGAGCATTCGCAGAAAGTAGTTTCCCGTCGTGCTTTTGGTCAGCGCAGCTGTGGGAGAGCAACTGCGCTCGACTGCACGCCCGAATCGCTGTCACGAGATTTTTGGCAGAAGTCAGCATCAGTAGTCCTAAACTTACTATTACCCAGTAGCCCCCAACACAAAATAAATAAACCCCACCAAAAACCAATTGTTGTTGATTTATTAGTAATTCATATAGTAATTTCGTTATATTAATACAGTGCCCTCTAAAATTGGTTGACAGATTATTTTTCAAGTAGTCTGCTGCATGACTTCCAGGTTGTTCCAGCCCCGGGCTGTCAACCCCATTATTACTGATGAGATCTATATATAATTTCAAAATGTTGCTTTGGAATTATATTCATTGTGAAAAGTGCTTCACAGAGACATCTGAGCTTAATGTTTTATGCAAGTGGGTAGAAAAAAAAATTACTTAATATAAATACATATTTTTAACCTCTTCAGCTCTGTGGCATATTTTGGATTTTTTTACTGATTTTGGCATACCTGAATTTAAAAGAGCGCCCTACTCACATACATTGGAGTAAACTGATAAAAATGGTCTAATTTCACAGAAAACACTGTAAATTTTAACACACGGGTGGAATAATTAATATTTGTATTGTTTTTTTTCATAATTTTATGATAAACACAAATAAAAAAATCTAATTTTGATATATTTTTTACTATGTTTTTATTTGAAAGATTGTTAATAATAGTAATAATAATAATGTTTTATTTATATAGCGCCTTTCCAGGGCTCAAGGACACTTTACAATGTACATTTCACAAGAAAAGAATAACACTGAAAGAGTAGACAATGATGACAAACAATAGTTAGTAGAAACAGTAAAGAGAATTATATAGATGGGGCAACATATAGCAGAAAAGAATCTAGCACAATGAATACAAAACTTAACGATGGTAACATTCAGAAAAGTGAAGGTTTTTTTTAAGTGAGTTTTGAATAATGATCAGAGACCCCAAGCAGAACAGGGGTTAAACAGCTCACCCAAAATTTTTTTTTTTTTCAGCTACCTACGTCAATTATTAACTATGATCACATGCTTGCGTATGTGACCGAGTGGATAATAAGGATGGTGTATGGGGTGGGGCATAGCTATTTATTTCGCCCTATAAATAGCGCAAAGGTTGGCAGGTTGCGTAATCTTCTGACGTTTGATCCTTTCCGTCTCCTTCCGGTGTTGTGACCCTGAAGCGCTATAGCGAGGTATGAGCGTGGCATTTGTTTAGATGCTGTAAGAGCTTGTACAAGGACGTTTTTGTTTCTTTACATGGTTTATTCTATGTTAATTGCAGAGAGATAACCCCCTGATGCAAGAGTGTGAGCGCGTGGACTGTGTGTAATATTATGCAAGTCGCGGACGCCGTGTTTCGTCTATAGCAACGAGCCGTATCACGCAGGGTTTTTATTCCACTCTAGTATGCAGTGTTTCTAGTCCACTTTCGGGATTACGGCAGAGGTATGTGTTTGTGTTAGATGGTTAGGTTTGTTATAGTGATCATATTTATGTATAATTATTGAGTGATGTAAAGGATTGTTGAGTGGTTACAACGCTGTGTTAGTTGCGCTGTGACAGGTGTTTATTTGTGTTTTTATATTGTTTGTTTATTTAGTTTGTTAAAGATTGATAGTTGTTTTGTATTTATGTTTTTGTTTTTCTGTTTGACAGATCTTCCTCTGTGGAGTTCTATGCATATGGACATCTGATGTCTAGGCCCTGCTGTTTTGTTTGATTTATTTTTTATATAAGTTTTAAGCTGATGGTCATATGCTGATGTTTGTTTTGAAGTTATTTTTTTATCTGTTATTATTGATTTTGTCAGCTGGGTCCTGTTTGTACCAACCGCTAGGGGTCTATATGATGTGTGGAGAAGAGGGGAGTTTTTAACCCATTTTTCTGTATTCTAGGAGCCAGCCTGCGTGAGAGCACTTTCCTCTGGGGTCATCTGGGTCCTTCCTCTACTGCATGTGGCGTGAGGTTATTCTGCACTGCATGGGTATTGATTTGAGAGTGTAGAGTTATTTGTATTATTCACTACACCTTTTTACATTTGTTGGTTGGTGCACGTTAGTGCACGTGAGGTGTGTGTGCTCTTGAGGTTGTGGGTCTTTGGCCCAGTGACTTTTTTTCTTCCCGCAGGCTTGGTTGATCTTGTATACAGGAATTGTGGGTTACAATTTTTAATATTTGACTTGGGAGTCTAGACATCTTAAAATTGAGTTTCTCTCTTTTTTTAGATGGTTATAAATGTGAAGTTGATCGCTTACTCAGAGCTTTTAGTACTGACTGCTAATAAAGGTGTTGTCCGTGAAGGTCACGTCTCTGTTCTTCATTCACTAGCTATAGAACTTGTTTTGCTGTGTTTAATTATTTCCGTGGGTATCTAACCCCGGTGGCGTAGTCGGAATCAAGTTGATCATTGGTTATCGCCTGGTTACACGTATTTTATATTATTGATCAATATATGAATCCGTTGACCAGGCTACACATGACACGAGTTCTGGTCTCACTGGCACAAATTAATTTAGATGAGATTATAATCAGATTAGTTAAAACTCTATTGATCCTAGATTGATTCCACTCTTGTATGTCAAGACTTCCAAAGCTTTGTTTGGTCACGTGATTTTGCAAACGGTATATCCTCTGCTCCGCTTTGATTTGTTAGATATGGTGGAGGAAACAAGTCTGACCACCAGATGTCGCTAATGCGCATTGTGTTAAAAGCTTTGAGTAATGAACCTTTTTTCGGCACAATTTGATGAAAGCCTTAAACGGTTCAGAAAGCCTCTGTTTCCCATCACTAATTAGAATAAGTGGCTGCGTCCGAAACCAAAATACTTCCCTACTATATAGTAGGCAAAAAGCAGTAGATGAAGGAATAAGTATGTTTGAAACCTCATTATTTATAATAGAGTATACGAGACATCCCCGGATGTCCTACTGCTTCAGCCCAGATTCTGAAGTGCTAATCCGATGGACACTTTTCTATTCCAAGAGGCCACGGGAGCGGATACATCATCATCGAATGTGAAGGGGAACAGCGACTATGGTGTTTTCAAATGTGTATTATAAATCAAATTGTGTATAAATAAATGAGTATTATAAATCAAAAACATGGTGCCTTGTGTTAAAATTGCTTTTGTTGAACTACTGTAGAGTAAACTGTTGAATTGTTGAGTGTAAAGACGCTAATGGGAGCTCCAGTAAGCACACATACATCTCCAAAGTGGATTCACATAAACCATATACATCTCATTGATACACAGACCAAACGAGGATCATTAACTAATACAGGTGAACAGAATGAATTAATCAGAGATGAGGAAAAACTAGGCCAAGGGAAACATGAGGAAAGAAAACAAAATAAGAGTCCATGATCGTGACAGTACTCCCCTCTCCAACCAGGCACGACCTCGCGCCATAACAAAAACAACAATGGAGGGATGGAGGGGACTAAGGAGGAGGACAAAGGAGTGGAGTTGGGATGGTAACAGGGGACGGAGAAGGGCAGGCAGGAAGGCAGGCAGATGACCAGGGTGGCCGCGACAGAGGGAGGAGCCAGGATGGAAACAGGAGGGACTTGGAGCAGGAGAAGTCCAGCTGGACCCAGGCCACAGCCATGATGGCAACCCTCGGAGGAGCTGACAGGGGGAGGAGTCATGGTGGAGGAAGGGCTGACGACTCCAGGGGGCCAACTGACTGCTGCCGAGCAGATGGCGGAGGAGCCCGAGGCGGAGACGGAGAGCCGATGAGCGAGGGCGACGGGGAGGATCCGGAGGGCCAAGGCGGAGCAGA